GAGTCCACTGGCGTCTTCACCACCATGGAGAAGACTGGGGCTCACTTGAAAGTGGGATCAAGAGGTCATCATCTCTGCCCTTCTGCTGATGCCCTCATGTTTGCGATGGGCATGAACCATGAGAAGTATGACAACTCCCGGGCACCTGGGTGGCTCAGTTGGTTAAGCGACTGCCTTCAGCTCAGGTCATGATCCTGGAGTCCCGGGATCGAGTCCCGCATCGGGCTCCCTGCTCGGCAGGGAGTCTGCTTCTCCCTCTGACCCTCCTCCCTCTCATGCTCTCTGTCTCTCATTCTCTCTGTCTCAAATAAATAAATAAAATCTTAAAAAAAAAAAAAGAAGTATGACAACTCCCTCAAGATTGTCAGCAATGCCTCCTACACCACCAACTGCTTGGCCCTCTGGCCAAGGTCATCCATGACAACTTTGGCATCGTGGAGGGACTCATGACCACAGTCCATGCCATCACTGCCACCCAGAAAAAGTAGTCCCTCTGGGAAGCTATGGCATGATAGCCAAGGGGCTGCCCAGAACATCATCCCTGCTTCTACTGGTACCACCAAGGCTGTAGACAAGTTCACCCCAAGCTGAATGGGAAGCTCACTGGCATGACCTTCTGTGTCCCTGCCCCCAAAGTGTCAGTTATGGATCTGACCTGCTCCCTGGAGAGAGTTGCCAAATATGATGACATCAAGAAGGTAGGGAAGCAGGCATCCTGGGCCACACTGAGGACCAGGTTGTCTCCTGCAACTGTAACAATGACACCCACTCTTCCACCTTCGATGCTGGGGCTGGCATTGCTCTCAGTGACCACTTTGTCAAGCTCATTTCCTGGTATGACAATGAATTTGGCTACAGCAACTCAGTGGCAGACCTTATGGTCTACGTGGCCTCCAAGGAGTAAGAGCCCCCTGGACCACCAGCCCCAGCGAGAGCAAGAGGAAGAGGAAGAGAGAGACCCTCAGCTGCTGGGGAGTCCTTGCCCCAACTCATCCCCCAACACAGAATCTCCCGACCTCTACACAGTTTCCATCCCAGACCCCCTGAAGTAGAGGAAGGGTTTGGGGAGCCCTATCTTGTCATGTACCATCAATAAAGTATACTGTACCCAGCCAAAACACACACACACACAGTAGAACGAGTGAGTAAATTGTATGATTTATTCATACAATGGAATACCACTCAACCATGGAAAAGAAATGAACTACTAACACATATAACAACATGGATGAATCTTGCAAAGATAATGCTAACTGAAATAAGGCAGACATGAGAATACATACTTAATAATCCAAAAACTTGTCTATGGTGATGTAAGTCAAAACAGTGGTTACTTTGCAGTGAGACTGGGGAAAAAATTGACTGGGAAGGGATATGAGGGAAGCTTCTAGAATACTAATCATATGCCATATCTTGATCTAGGTGCAATTACATAAGCGTATACTTTGTAAAAATCAGTCAAGCTACGCACTTAAGATTTGTGCATTTTACTCTTATTTATGTTAGACTTTAATTTTTTTTAGTTTTTTAAAAAGCAAAGGGATAACAGACACAAAATTCAGGAGAGTGGCCACTTCTGAAGGAGAGGCCATGGAATGGGATAGGAAAGAAGTATACAGACACTTTAAGTTTACATTCGTGATGCATACAAATACTCTTTTGTATATATCAAATATTACATTAAATGTAATAAAAATTCTTTTAGTAAAAACAAATTATTCAAAGAGTTTAAACCCATGTGCTGAACTCAGGAAGAATTTTTAAAGTAAAATTAATATAAAGGACTTTCAGTGATATTCAAATACAGGAAGACAATGCATTAATGTAGTGAGTGTCTTCCTAGCATGGTGCTGGTTGTACCTTCAAGAGCTCCCTCTGCATGAGCTAGAGCAGTAAGAATGGCAGGCCTTCTTGAGCATGTACTGTCTATTGGGCACTGTTGTGAATGCTTTACATGCATCTAATTGTCACACAACCCTATGAAGCCATACTGTTATCACCCCAATTTAACAGATGGGGAAACACACACAGGGAGTTCAAGTGATTTGCCCACGGCCTCACAGCGGGCAAGCCAGACAGCCAGCATCTGAAGGCTGGTTTGAATTGCCGTCTGGTTTCAGAGCCTATTCGTTTCACCTCTGCACTGCTCTGCCTCTTGGAAGAAGCAGGTCCCCGATTTCTGAAAGTTCTCAACCATACCCGACTCCTGACAAGGCCTGAAATCGAGTTCCAGAGTTTTATAACGCCTGCCTCAGAGAGAGGGGTGTTGTGATGTGCCCGTAATGACAACGACAATGCATTACAGTGTCATTACCGCCAATAACAATAACAATAAACATTAAGCCCACACGGTATTACATTACAGAATAGATTTAGAAGTTGCCATGATTGAACAGTTACCGTGTTTCTTAATTTCAGACCTTCGCTAAGAAAGAAGTAACCCGGATAAATTACCTTTTCTCTCTGAACTCTCTCCTGTCCTTTCCCGGCTTATGGCCCCCACCACTTTAAACGATGCATCCGATTTATTCATGATGTGTGTCTTCCCTCTCCTCCAGGAGGATAGGATTCGTTTTTGATTCTTCCTTGCCTCCTTGTGGTACACATTACTTAGACGTAGTAGGTGCTTAGCAAATATCCCTGTCGGGAGTGTATGCATGACAAATAAATAAAAATTAGGTCAAACACCCCAGTACTTTGTAAAAGCTTCCACATATCTCTTGACCTTGCCCATCATATTCACTGCTATATTCCCAGGGCTTCGAGAAGAACCTCTCAGTTGTAAATACTAAATACCTGTAAATGTTGGTTGAATGAATGAAAATATGAAGGATAGATAATTCTCCCACATTGTAAAGTAGCTGTAAACCATTCCTCATCTCTGTGAAAGGTCTCACTGACACTCTGGATGGGTGGTTGACACGTCTATCAACTCAGAGGAATAAGGAATATGCTGCTGCACTCTGCTGCGTCTTGATGATGGAATGAATGAGTTTACAATGGAGCAATGGGTACCCGGCTTGAGAGAAAACTGCACACACTGGCCCAACCACGTGGCAGTGGTGGTGGTGGCCTGTCCGCAGGAATTGCAGCAAGCAGTTCTTATCACGCAGTCCTGGAGGGGATGAGGATGAATGTACATGTCTTGAACGTCTTTGAGAATTTTTTGTTTTCCAGCTTGGTTGAGATATAATTAACATACTACACTGTTTCAGTTTAAGGTGATAGACTTACCTATTACAAAATGCAATATATACCACCGTACTGTGAGCTAACAGCTCCATCTTGTCACTTCATTACCATTTCTTTTGTGGTGAGAACATTTAAGACCCACTCTCTTGGCAAACTTCAAACGCACAATACAGTATTTTAACTAATTGTATTAACAAGAGTTAACTAACAGCATTTTAATATGCTATAAATTAGATCCTTAGAACTTATTCATCTTATATCCAGAAGTTTATACTCTTTGACCAGTATCTCCCCAATTCCCCGACTCTGCCAGCCCCTGTAACCACCATTCTAGCCTGTTTTTATGAATTCAGCTTTTTTTAGATTCCAGATATACATGAGAGCATACTTCATTTGTCTTCTCTGTCATTTTTTTTACTTAGCATAATGCTCTCAAGGTCCATCCATGTTGTTCCAAATGGCAAGCTTTCCTTCTTTCTCATGGCTAAATCATATTCCATTGTACATATATATATACACCACGTTTTTACCCATTCATCCACTGATGGTCACTTAAGTTGTTTCCACATCTTGGCTACTGTGAATAATGCTGCAATAAACAGGAGAGTGAAGACATTTCTTGGAGATCCTGTTTTTATTTCTGTTGGATACATACCCAAAAGTGGCACTGCTGGATCATCTGGCAGTTCTATTTTTAATTTTTGAGGCACCTCCATAGTGTTTTCCACACTTGCTGCACCAATTTACATTTCCACCAACAGTGCCCAAGGCTTCCCTTTTCTCTACATCCCCCACCACCACCACCACCAACGCTTGTTATGTCTGGTCTTTTTGATGATGGCCATTCTAACAAGAGTGTGGTCATATCTCTCATTGTGGTTTTGATTTGCATTTCCCTGATGATTAGTGATGTTGAGCATCTTTTCATGTACCCGTTGGCCATTTGTTCGTCTTCTTTGGAAAAATACCTATTCAGTTCCTCTGCCAATTTTTTAATTGGATAGTTTGGGTTTTTTTATTGTTGTTGTTGGTTTGGTTTGGTTTGGTTTGTTGTGTGGGTTTGTTTGATTTGGGGGGTTTTTTGTGTGTGTGATAGAGCTGTCTGAACTCTTTTGGATATTAACCTCTTATCAGATATACGATTTGCAAATATTTTCTCCCATTCAGTAGGGTGCCCTTTCATTTCACTGGTGGTTTCCCTTTGCTGTGCAGAAGCTTTTTAGTTCGATGTAGTCCCATTTGCTTATTTTAGTTTTTATTGCCTTTGCTTTTGGTGTCAAATCCAAATAAAATCTAGGTCATGGAGCTCACTCCCTATGTTTTCTTCTAGGAGCTTTAAGGTTTCATGTCTTACATTCAAGTCTTTAATCCATCTAGTTGATTTTTTCGTATGGTGTCTGCTGAGGTCCTGTTTCATTCTTCAGAATTTTGTCTAGTGAGAAGTCATCTAGACTGGGCGTCAAGGTCCATGATAGGGTCAGAGGAAGAAGTTCTCTTCTTCAGTCTTTCCTGCTCCACTTCCATCTCTTGATTTCTTTGGTGTATTATTCTATCAACTGGGAAAGCCTGTGATGGCCCTTTTAAATATGAAACATCACCACTCAGAGTGAGCTCTGCCTTGGGGCGGCTCTGAAACAGCCATTTGAGGAAAGACTGTTCTTTCCTTCCTTAAAAAGCAGGCCTTGTTCTCCTGGGCTGGAAGCTCGACCTTCTTCCTGACTCCTCCCCTGCCCTTCACCTCCTACCCAGCTCCTCCTTCCAGCCCAAAATACAGCTGTGTCGTCTCCTCTTCTCCCTACCCCGCCTTTCTTTCTGGCCTGCAGTGAGGGGAAAGCCAGAGTTTGATCTCAGAGCAGAAAGAATCCACAAAACAACCCACAGAGCCTAGAAGAAAAGCGCTGGAACAAAGTGTTTCTTAGCGACTCGCTCAGGACAGTGATCAGAACCTGACACCCTGGTCCAGTTTGTTCGTTCATATCCTTTTATTGCAGAAGACCAAGTTCTGACCAACCTGTATTTTGAGGTCTGATCCAGGGCATCGCTTAGCAATGCCCTGAGCTTCTGCGCCCTCCCTACCACCATTCCCTTGGCTAAGTGACATTTGGGGGCTGCCAGGGGGCATGGGAGGAGAGCTGGGGAAATTTTTAGGGCACCTGTCTCAACCAACTTCGGGCCTCTTCTTCCAGTGCCTTCCATCTTGGTCTGTCGTCTCAGGCTCTCGCTCCCCAACTCTGGGCACCGTGGCTCCGTCGGTCACTCGGTAGGTCTACCTCTGTGCGTCACAGCCCTCGTGCTCCGGCCGCCCAGCCTCGCGCGCGCTCCCGGGGCCGCGGGAAACGCCTGAGCGCGCCGCCCGGCCGCGCCGGCGCTTTCATCCCGATCCAGGTGGCGGCAATCCAGTACAGGATTTACGGGGCCCTGACCCTGAGCCGTCAAGAAGGAACAGCCAGATTAATGGGGTGGGCGGGCTGGGGTAATAATCGTTTGTTTGATGTGACAAGCCTGATAGGCGTTGATTTACTTACAGACTGATGGGCTTTTAATTGAGCACCTCCATCCCAGTCACTTCAAAGGCAGGGGAAGTTGACAAGGGGCCCCTTTCACCGAGGGTTCCCGGTGACTGACAGCCCCCCTCCGCCGACGCTCGGCTCGGCCCAAGATTGGGCCCGGCGGCCCCGGCCCGGCCCTCTGGCGAAGTAACACATTTTCGGTGTAACTCAGAAATGGCCTTTTGTCTGCTGCCAAGGGGGGCAGGCCCCGCTCGGCAG